GCGCGCGGCCACCGTCTGGTGCGGCGCCACCACGCAGTCCACCGAGGAGGCCTCGGCGGCGAACGGTATCCCCGGCGTGCACTACACGTCCCCGCCGCCGACGCCCACCCCAGCACGTCCACTGACACCACCGTCGTCCCTCGCCTTCCGCCTCTCCCTCCCGTTCCTCCGCCGCCTCCCGCGCCACTCCTCGGAACGCTGGGGCGTGCCCACCGTCGCGTGAGCCTGGGCTGCCGCAGACACGCACCCGAGTCCGCGCCAGTCCGCTGTGGGCCGCGCCGCTTCCGGCGCGTGCGCCTGGGACGCCGCCGCGCACCCAAGCCTGCGCCAGTCCGCCGGAGGTCGCGGGGTCTCCGGCGCGATAGCCTGCGACGCGGCCGCGGACGTGCAGCGGAGGCCGCGCAGCAGGCCCTTGCCTGGCGCGACGATGGAGCAGCGGGAGGAGGGAGACGCGCCGGCGCCGGGGACGGGACGGGTCGTCCGCCGAGTGGGTTCGCGAACAATCGCGAAGCCGTTCTGGACTACGGGTTGATTTGGAAATAATCTGAGATGTTTTTGCAAAATATTTTTAGAGAGCCTCCGGAGCGCAGGTTTCATATAGAAAGATTCAAATCTTACTTCGATGAGCCGAATGGATTGCTTATGTCTATTTGGCTTCTTCTACTTTCTACTGCAGTTGACAGTCAAGTATACCCGTCATTTTAGAGTGTATCAAACTTTCACTCATTTACATACATACAGATAAATGTTCCTCGCATGCCCGAGACAGTTAATTACGGGCTGTTGTGATTTTTTTTCTCCAAACAACCTTTTTCAAAACAGCATCATGTTCCTCCTCTTATAAAGGGTCGAGATGAGAGAGAGCTGAAAAAAATAGCTTATCTCAGCTTCATCTCCCACATATAAGGCCTACACTACTACAGATATCACTTTCACTACCGGCTGCATCACTGTCGGATTTAAGAAACCGACAGTGATAGCATATCACGGTCGGTTCTTGGCTAAAACCGACAGTGATAGGATCAACCGACACTGATATTCGGGTCTTCACTGTTGGTTCATATCACCGTCCGTTTTAGCCAAGAACCGGTAGCGATATTGAATCATCACCGTCGGTTGTAGCCAATAACCAACACTGATACTATCGTTGTCGGTTCGTGGCTTGAACCGATAGTGATATGCTGCAAGAAAACTTCATAACTTTCTCATATGATGTCCGACGAAGACGAACTTTATATCAAAGTTGTAGTACTTGACGAGATCTACAACTTTGTAGTTCAAACCTTTTTGATTTGAGATCGTTTGGATGTCCAAATATACACCACAAGATTTTATAGAGATAATACCAAAGGAGTACCATATGCTACAAAGTCATAATTGAGTGTGGGGTGGTAGTTAAGGATCTCGAATGCAGAAGCACCAAAACAAAAGTTGTAGATCTCAAAAGATTATGCAACTTTATAGTTCATAACTTTTTTGTTTGAAGTCGTTGTGATGTCTCTCTATTTGATTGGCAAGATTTCATATAAGTTAACACAAACTAAGGCCATATGTTCCATAGTCATAACTGAGTGCATAGTGATATTTAAGAATCTTGGATGAAGAAACGACCAAAACAAAATTCGTAGATCTAAAAAAAGTTATGCAACTTTGTAGTTGACAATATTTTCATTTGAAATCATCTATCTAATGAAAATCACATTTGATTTCTAAAATTTAAAATTTGAATTTTTCAAACATCCTCGGATGGAGAAACACCCAAAACAAAAGTTGTAGATCTTGAAAAGTTATGCAACTTTGTTGTTGACAACTTTTTCATTTGAAATCACTTATGTAGTGTAAAATACGGTTGAATTTTCTCTAATTTGAAATTCAAATTCTTCAAATGACCTCGGATGGAGAAATGACCAAAACTGAAGTTGTAGATTTCAAAAAGTTATAAAACTTTATAGCTGACGACTTTTTTATTTGAATTCGTTTAGGACCCCAAATGCTCATTTCAAAATTAGATGAATATAAAATGGTTAGGACGAAAATCTCATTTGGACCCAAGCTTCTTACATGTGGAGTGGTTATAGGATGAACACATGAAGTAGGAGATCAGCAGTTCGAGTGCCGGTGGCCACAAAGCGTGTGTTTTTCACGCGAAAAATCATGTGGCTTGTGTCTTGCGACGCGCGACCGTGTGGTTGTTTAGTGGGGTCTCTCCTGGTATTAAAAACTTTTTTCCCTGTCGGTTTAAAATCCGACAGTGAATGAGGGTTTTTGAAACTACAGTCATGTGAAGAACTGGGTAGTGCTAGCATGCAAAAAGACTACCTATGTCGAGCAGAGAGAGGGAGAGCATGCTCGAGGGAGGGAGGCACCGAGGCATGGCCTGTCGGCTGCCGGGACACGACCACCGGGCGCAGCCCCCGGTGGCGCGGCTCGCTGGAGCACGGCCATCGCGGATGACAGGGCCACGAGTGGCAGAACAGAGTTGCGTTGGGAGGGAGCACGTGTGCGCGGTCAACGGATGCTACCGCTGGGAGCCCAGGGCCGGGACACCGCCGTCGGGGGCACGCGTGACGCGGACGCTGGGCGCTGGGCTGGGGCGTGCACGCCGGATCTAGGCTGCCAGAGCGCGGCCACCGAGGACGCATGGCCAAGACCATGGGCGGATCCATGTTCATGGTTGTGGGTGCGGCCGCACCCACGAAAAATCTAGAAAACAGTGATTATGTTCACTTTTTCACCACATATGCACCCATACGATAAAAATCTATGCACCCACAAGGCTAGCGCACCCCCTTAACTTTGCTCTAGCTCCGCCACTGGCTAAGACGCCAACACTGGGGGCGTGAGGCCAGGGTGCGGCTGCCGGGGGCCGAGGCCGTGACGCCGCCACAGGGGGCGCAAGGCCGGGGCGCGGCTGCCGGAAGCGCGAGGCCGGGATGCCACGGCCAGGGGCGCGAGGCCAGGGCGCTGTCGCCGAAGGCGCGGAGCCATGGCACGGCCACCGAAGGCGCGGTCGCCGGGGCGCGACCTCCTGGCTCACGGGTGCGGTGGCTCGGGCCCGAGAAAGGAAGAAGATGCGTTGGAGGAAGGAGATAGAAAAAAATAGAAGAAAATGAAAGACCAAGTGCATTTCAGTCATTTTTTTGTTTTGGTCCCTCGTGTGAAGCTTTTTTGCGAAACAATTTTTTTCAAAACAACTCAGCTTTACAGACAAAACGGTTAGTGATGCTATTTTCTAAAAAATAGATTTAATGGTGAAGCTGAGCTAGTAGTGATTGCGTAGTTGTATTTGTTGCAATTAAATCTACAAAATAAGATCTCACATGATTATGTTTTGGTTAAAATTAAATAAATGACAAGTGGATCCCGCATGACATCATCAGCCTATCCATCCTCATCCATCCATCCAACCAAACAGAAAATAGCATGTTCTATCTCATCCTATCCTATAGATATTCATCCAACAAAAAAAATGATCCATCCCATCCATCCAACCAAACAGCAAGTATGGATAACCATATCTAGAAATCCATAGATGGCCATATCCCATCCACCCTTATCATCAAACTAAACACACCCTTACTTTGAGTGGTATAAGGATGGATAGTCTCTCCTTTCCCTACTTGAGCTTTCTGGCTGCATACCCAATAAAAGAGTTGCACAATGTTTTAGGCTGGTATAGTTGCTCTTTGCTTATCCGTGTAATCCTGAGCTAACTGCCGGCTGTTTCATACTTTCATGTTTTGCCTGAAAAACATGCATAACACGTAAAATTGGTAATGACATTGACATGTTCTTGTTGCTTGCTGGTGTTGTTAGGCAGTGCCGCAGTGCAGGCTCCATGCATGCATTCTTTGGAACCTACCACTTGGCCGGCGCTGCACTTGCCATCGGTCTCTGCTCCAAAATGGATCCTCACTACCCAACAACTTCACCGCACTGAAGGCTATGGGCATTACATACATTCTCCGCGCCAAACCAAGGACCACTTTGCGATCAATCATCACTCCATCACATATATGCCCTCACGGTGCGTCGTGGAAATTGGAAAGCAACCTCGCCGCCATTTCTGGCGCGCCACCGTACCCGCGCCCGCATCGAAACGAACACGTACAGGCCAGTAGCAATATTGGCCTCCTTCGCGTGCCCTTAAATCCGGCTTGATCCGCTTCTTTTTTCATCCGGAATAGTGTTTTTCTCTCACAGGTTCCTCCAGCATTCCTCCAAACCATCCAAATTCCTCAAGAATTCCTCCAAGCGAACAGGCCCATAGCATGCACACGGGGCGCCACGGCACGCCGGTGAAGATCCCTGTTAGGCAGGCACGCACGCTCATGCAAAGATCTCCGCGCCACCCACCTCGGGATTCCTCGTGATGGCGACTCGACCAGCCATGTCAGGATCGTGGCTGGGCGGGCGCGAGTTCCAACCATTCAAAGGCATCTCCCAATTTGATGGGGGAAATCAATCGCGGGGCTACGTGTGGAACGCGGGCGCACCTTCTTCCTTGGTGATCGGAAGGGGCTCCATTTGTCCTCGCTGTGTCATTGGTACTTGGCAGTAATGTTCTAGTACAAGCTTAGAGCTAGTATTATAAGGCTGAGTCAGCCGGCTAAATAGAGGACACATCAGGAAAACAGATGATTTGGCGGAGAGAGAATAGGAGAGAGAGAATGGATCGGCGCTTATCTCTTCGCCCGGCTGAATCCCACCACACCGTCCGTTCGCAGCCGGGTGCGGGCGCTTTGGTCGACGCTTCGCTCCCCACCTCCTTCCCTTCTCGATCTCGTGCGGCACCCCCGACCTTCCACTCGTCCGCGCCCTTCCCTGCTCGCCCGCGCGCCAAATCCCGCCGCAACTCCACCAGATTCGCGCCAAAATCGTTTCCTCTCCTCCCGAATCAATGCCTTGCGCGCCAAATTGAAGGACAAAAGCCCCAAATCCTCGCAAAACTCTCGCTTCCCAAACCCTAACCAGCAACCCGCCACCGGAGCCATTGCAAGATGGGTGGCAAATCGAAGAGGACGTCTGCACCAGCGCCTATGGAGATTCCACCGCAGCAGCCTCTTCCCATTCCGCCGCATGGACTCGGCACCTGGTTTCCAACACCACCTACGCAGTCCTCAACGTCCTCTGCACCATGGTGGCATGCCGGACATCAGCAACTAGGCTTGGCGGGTTCCATGCCTCAAGGCTCGTCGTGGATGCTGCCTCCCTCCGTATCTTCTCAGCCTATGGCTGAGAACGATGATGAATCTGAAGTGCAGTCATGGTATGTATCCTCCATGACTCATGAATCTTTCCCAGTTACATTTAATCTCTTGCCATTGCTATGCCTAATGCACCATCCTTTGTTTATAAATTTACTGGTTTGAGCTCATATGCTATGTACTATAGTCATCTTGTATGTATTGGTATTTTTTTTACTAGATTTTTTTGGCAGAACTGGTAGTATGTATTAAGTTAAGTAATATGTTCACTGTAGTTGTGAAAACTGATAAGTCAATGGTGACGTGAGTGCTTAAAAGACTATTTTGATTTAATGCATTTTTTATAGGGGACCAAATCTTTACCCTCCTGGTGGTTTCATGAGTTTTATGAATAGCACAGCAAGCCCTAGAGGCTTAGTGAGCAATGGGAGTAAATCATAAGCAATCAATCTTGCTGATGATGGCAAGTGTGGTAGGACTAAAAACGCATGCTATGGACAAAAAAGGAGGATATGAGATTGGTATGTTATTTTTTCTGTTAGTTCCATCCATGAGTTGCACTAAAAACATCCTGGTAATCATCTTTTGTTAATGTTGTAGGTTAGTGCTTGGTTAAAAAGTTCAAATGATCCTATCCAGTCCAACTACAAGAAAAATGATCAATATTGGAAAAGTGTTGCTGATATCTACAAGAGCACCACCCCAAAAGACCGAGCAAGGCAAGTCAAGCAAATTAAAGATCACTTTCTAAGAATTAAGAAAAGGGTTCAATGGTTTTGTGGTAGCCGGAAAGAGGCCAACACTCTATGGGCTAGTGGTGAATCGGATGCAGATATTGAGGCTAAGGCAATGAAATCTTATGAAGAAGAGCACAAAAAAGATGGCCCATTTACGTTTAAGCATTGCTGGGAGGTTCTTCGAAAGGAACCAAAATGGGAAGCCTATTTGGAACGCCTAGAAGACCTCGAGCCGGACAAAAGAAAGTTCTATGAAGAGGATGATGTGGGGAAATGTTTCTCTCTAGATGATGATGCTGATGAGCGGCCAATAGGAGGCAAGCAAGCTAAGGAGCAGCGCAAGAAGAAGAAAAAGGGCCAGCCGTGTATAATAGATCTTGAAGATGAGCTTAACAACTTTTTGGATGCTCAGAATACATCAAATGAAGGGCGCAAAGAGATGTTAGAGACGCAAAGACGTGTGTCTAGTGAGAATCTTGAAGCTCGGAAGCTTGCGCACCTTGCAGCAAAAGAGCACAAGGAGTCAGTCATGCTAGAAACGTATCGAGCGCTATTGATGAAAGAGACAACAAGTATGCCTGAAGACGTGAGATCTGAGCATGTGTTGGCACTGAAGTGTTTGAGGGAGAAGCTATTTAACAAAAATGACTAAGGTACTGAAAATGTTTTGCCTGTCTTTAGTCCAGTGCTGAAAATTAGGACCTAATTACAATGCAATCAATAGTCTACAACTACAATTAAATTATAGCTAATTACAATGCAGTCAATAGTCCACAACTACAATTAAATTGCAGCTAATTACAATGCAGTCAATAGTCCACAACTACAATTAAATTGCACCTAATTGCAATGCAGTGCCGAACACTCTCATCTAGGAAGCTCATCTATATAATCCTCCCAAACCCATCTCACTTCTACAACTCATCAGAACACTCTCATCTTCCTACTAAGTCAAAACCATGTCGGATTCATCCTCATACTCAGATGATTCCGATGAGCTAGCCCCTACCAAAATCATTGAAGAGCATATTGCTGAGCAGAGCGTCCTAGACTCCTTTGCTAGGAAGCTCACAATGAAGTTCAAGGCTGCCTTCTCGGCTGGAGTACCTCAACGCCAATATGGTTCTAGAAAGAGCATCCAGAGGGATCATGGTGGTGCTCACGAGCGTCTTGTAGAGGACTACTTTGCTACAGAACCACTCTACCCCGAGAGTATGTTTCGTACTAGATTCCGTATGAATAGGCGTCTCTTCCTACGCATTGTGGATGCCCTTGGTCAGTGGTCTCCCTATTTTACTTATAGGGCAGATTGTGCTGGTCGAATAGGGCTATCACCACTGCAGAAGTGTACAGCAGCCATGTGCATGCTGGCTTATGGCAGTCCCACAGATGCTCTTGATGAGTACTTAAAGATTGGGAAATCCACTGCATTAGTGTGCTTGGACAAGTTTGCATGAGGGGTGATTGAGGTGTTTGGTGGTGAGTACATGCGACGCCCCACATGTGAGGATGTTGAGCGTATACTACAGGTTAACGAGTCTCGTGGTTTCCCTGGAATGCTAGGTAGCATAGATTGCATGCACTGTCGTTGGGAGAAGTGTCCTTTAGCATGGAGGGGGCAATTCACCCGTGGCAATTATGGAGTTCTAACTATAGTGCTAGAAGCTATTACTTCCCAGGACCTTCATATTTGGCATGCTTTCTTTGGAGTTGCTGGATCAAATAATGACCTAAATGTGCTCAACCAGTCCCCACTTTTTTTTGATACCTTAAGAGGAGAGGCCCCTCAAGTTCAGTTTTCAGTCAATGGTAATGAATATAGCACTAGTTATTTCCTTGCTGATGGTATATACCTAGAATGGACAGCCTTCATGAAGAGTATAATACTTCCACAAACAGAGAAGCATAAGTTATTTGCTGATCATCAAGAAGGGGCAAGGAAAGATGTGGAGCGTGCTTTTGGGGTACTGCAGTCTCGTTTTTCCTTTGTTCGTAGGCCCGCACGTCTATGGAAGAGAAAGAGTGTTGGAAGGATCATGCTAGCTTGTGTGATCCTCCACAATATGATAGTGGAAGATGAAAGAGAGAATGCTAAGATTCATATTGACTTGAATGAGAATCCAAGTGCATCGTTTGCTCTACCTCCTGAAGTGAACACTAGTAGTAATCTATGCTTTGCTAATGTGATGCGTAGAAAAGATGCTATCCGTAATCGTCCACAAAGATACCCAAATTTTAAAGATGATCCGATCGAGCACATTTGGCGTAGGTTTGGAAATAACCATCATAACTAGTCATGGTAGAATTATGAAATATGCATGTTTCTATTATTTTTTTTCCTTCACCATGAGAACTAACATGATGTCTTACATGTATCTTTTCAGAATCGGACCGGGCATGGCTTGGTTTGATGTCTGCAGATGCTACTTGCAGTATCTAACTTTTTTCAAATAGAAACTTCTATATCTAATTTCAGGGCCATTTGTTCTAATTTTTGCACTATTATATGTTTGTAGTGTCATGTCTTTTGATGCAAATGGGTTGATCGCTCCTCCCTACCGAAGGCCAACTATCAACTCGCCTTCATGAATAAATAATGGCATGTGTGCCAAATGAACTTTAGTATTGGTTGAAGTTGTTGCTTTTCTATAATCTAGACTATGTTATTTTAAGTGATGTGTCATGGTGCTATGCCACCGTATCGTTAGTGAATTGTTGCTTAAAATTTGTCATTTATCTGGTATTATTTCTTTTATTTAAGTACCTACTTTTGGTTATCTCAGAATATGTTGTTCTCAGAATATATTGTTTGGTAATGACATGGATAAACATATATGGTTTCTACATGATGAATTGAGCATGCATGTATGGCCACAAAGATGTAGGCCACATCAGATTGAATGCATATGGCAACATTAAATCTTCACTGCAGCTAGTTAAACAGCTTCTTATTAGAGCAGGTATAATAATCGCCTTTTAGCCGGCGAGGAGGATCCACGTCATCGAAAAACCAGCCACGTAAAGAGAGAGAATTTGGAGCGGGCGGTAAACTCCTCACCGATTGCAAATAAGAACGTCTGAGGAGAAAAACGTCTTTTTCTAGCCGGTCATGAGCGAGAAGTCGCGCTTTTTCCCATTTCACGTACTCTTGTACTGTGATCATTAAATGCTACAGCCCGTCAAACAGCTAAGCCATAATATGAGTTGGCTATATAATTGACTGTATATGACATGTCATGCTCTTGCAGCCGGCAGCAGGCTAAATTGTTAGACTTGCTCTGATACTAGCAGGCTGAATAGCCAGCTGTAAGTGACATGGCCTTTACTTATAGCCTTCAGCCAACTAAATCATTGTCCTTGTTCTTACGATGCAATGCTATGCGATGCATGGTGGCAGATGTAGCGGTGACAGTGAGCGGACAGAGCGAGCTCCCATTCCGAGCAGTACTAGGTAGCTCTAGGGTGAACCTTTTTTTCTAGCCCGTGGAAAAGGAGATTTTTTTTATTTTTACACTTTTTTTAAAACTATTTTTAAAACTGATATTTTTTTCTTTAAAACTAACACTTTTGTACGCGCTAACTGACATGGCATGGCCAAACCACTCTACTACGCCATGCATGAAGGCGCGGCCAGGTTGCCACCGTGACAGCGACCGGTGACGTGGCCCAGCTCTGCCGCGCCACAGATCACGGCGCGGCACCGACGCGCCATCGTGCATGGCGCGACAGACCCCGATAAAGGCCCACGACGTGGCTCTCTCTCTCTCCATTCCTTTTTTTCCCTTTCACGCGCCGGCCGTCGCCAGACGCCCACGCCTGCCGCCGGCAGCCGCTGGTCGCGCCCTCCCTTGCCAGCCCCCTCCCTACCTTCCCCGAGACTCCTCCTCGGCCTTGTCCAGGTAATGAAGCTCCTCCTCGGCCTCAACGGTGGATTGAAGGATTTGAATGAATAGTTAGTGTATGGAGGAAAATATGAGTTTGTTAGAACGTTGAATTGAAGGATTAGAATTGCCAATGTTAAAGTTAATCGGTTAGTTAGAATTATGATTATCATGTATTCTAAGGTTAATTTTTATAAGAATTTTGCTTGTTTGAGTTTGCATCTCAACTTTTATATGTGAATAAATATATGGACACACTATTGATGTACCAAATTTTATTTTTTACTGACTAAAGTATAGTTTTTATATAGTTATCATGTTTGTATCTAAGATAGAGTTTGCACCAAAGTGTAGGTTATATTTTATTTGTTGTAATGCAAATGGTTCTCATTGACATTAATTTGTGATGTTTTGATTTTTGTTTGTTAAATTACAACCGTTTTGTTAGATGCAAGAAATGTATCGGGAGGAGTTTTGGTGAAAACGGGGTTGTCCTCGAGAATTATATCCCGACGCATCTAGCAAAGATGCCCCCGTCCCTCCTGACCTCCCTGTCCCTAACTATGACTGTGGTTTCCTGACCGACGTGTTTCAATCGAGACATCCAGACACAGCGGCGCATTGCTTCTACACATGCAGTCGTTTTAATGTAAGTAATTATTTCCACTATCTTTTTTTCTTCATTTGTGTAAGTAGGCTATTAATATTTTGTTGGAATCTTGTTGTGTAGGCCCATGAGAGGTGCTTTTTCTTTCAGTGGATCGACGGTGCAGACAAGTTTGACCCTACGTACCTCCTTTTCAACGATTGGTGTAGAGGGAGACATCCACGTGAGCACTTCTAGCGGTGGGTTCCACCCCCCCCTATCCCCCCGCTAATGACGGCTAAGGAGAAGCACCTAGTCATAGTTAGACGACTCGAGGAACCTCCTCTATGTGAATAAGGAGATCGAGCTGTGATAAACCCTGAGAATACGTTGGAGTTTATGTGTCCGAACAAACACGAAGTAAGTGGAAAGTGTATCTGTTTAAATGTTTATCTCTATATGTGTGCATGTACTAATGTATTCTCTTGTAGCGTTATGGATTTGCGAAGTGTCGTTTCAATGAGTGGCTCTACGGTCCTAAGAATCAATGGCTGAAGCCATCAAAGGCAAAGGAAAAGAAAAAAGAAAGGTTAATTTACAAAGCACCTCCAGTCAAGTGCGAATGTGGTGTTAAATCTAACTACGGTCTAGTCCCTTCGGAGCTTGGAATAGGCCATTATTGTGGCCATATGGTTGGCTATGATGAGGTTGGTTATTTTTGTGGTAAACATGAAATCGTATTTTGTTTTTGTTTTGTTAAGACATATATGATATAATTTTTCGTTTGAATAGAGCAATAGGAAATGCAGGTGGAAATGTTATGATGGTCAAGCTAAGTTCTTAGATGAACTGAAGGGGAGGCAAGTAATTGCACGGAAGAGGAGATATGGACCTGACTACGTCAACCTATTCGTTAAACATCATAAAAACAAGATGCGTGAGTTTGCTAGATAGCGCGGTATTTATAACCCAATCGATGTTGGGCTTGACAAATGAGGATTGGAGAGACAGAGGGCGTTAGAGGAGGAGAGGGCAAGGAAGAAGGCAAGGGAGGAGACAAGAGTATAGATGCAGGTCTTGAATGACCATGTTGTTGCATTGTTTGCCGGTCAGTGCTTGAAAGCTTTTTTATTTTCGTTGCCTGATTTTAAATGTAATATAATCACGTTGCCGACTGGTTGCATT